ATCATCATTATTGTTGACCACCTCCCGGATGTTTGTATTTAAACTAATACCTGTACCTGATGTTGAAGGCGATGGCGATGACAGAATACTACTGTTACAGCTTGTCAAATTGTTACCATTTGCCATGATTTTTATGTTACGATTATTGCACTAAAAAACAATTAAATTAAATCACCACAACCCCTCAGAACACTAAACAATTTTGTAATATTTAACGGTTCACGATGTGACACGAGGCAACTACGAAACTATCCGATTGGGCAAGCCCAGCCTGTATCGTAACCCGTCAGCCTTACCAGCGGTGGCTGTGTGCATTACCGAATACAATGTTACGACATTCGAAATAGCAGATAAAATACGAATCTGACACAAATCGGTTTTTTTTCAGCCAAGATGTGGAAAAATTTTTCACTATGACGATTAGCCGTAATGAAAATTGTTTTAGTTCGTGTTTTGTCCGTATCATTTACACTATAAAACAAATTGAATTTATTAAAAAAATGATATTACTGATTATTTGAAAGAAATTATGTACCTATAATTTTCAATTCCATTTTTAAATTCTATATATACAATTATAGCAACTACATTTTTCAGCGAAGCCCTAATCCAGTGTGTAGTATGTACTCGTATTATTTATATGCTTTATATGTGAGCTCTGGGCTAGCCCGAGCTTGGTCACTCGTGGTGTATCCCTACTCCAGGCCAGCCAACGCAACAGAGCCTGCGACTATGTGGTGTTCTCTGTTTTTCAGACTAATCTCGGTATGGTAGATCCGTACAGATTAATTCAGGCGTCTCGGGCTAGCCCGAAGATCACTTTTATCCGAAAATAAGGAGTATAACGAGCATGTTGAACGTAGGAATTTTAAGGAACATAATTGCAAGGATTTGTTATCGGATTTATTTTGTATAAAATTTGAGAAATTCATATTTTATTAATTTTAAAACCTCGAAAAAATTAGGTTGGGCACTGCCCACCTTGCCCACTCCCACCAGCCGCCACTGCTCTGTACTATGTCCTGGAAAACGCTAGCTTGACCCTGGACGCCAATTTGCGATATCAGCTTTATCACCATTACAAATGGATGTTATTAAAGAAAACTTCCACTTATTAACGCAAGAGGAGATGAAAATAGCAATCCAGGACAGATCACCGGATACTGACACTTTTTAAAGAAATCTACAAGTATGCCATCTAAGTCAAAATACACAAGGTGGAATAAATACCAAGATCTTGAGCTGAAGTACTGTGGGTAAACGATACACGACAATCACAATGTTGCATATCAAACGATTAATTCAGTCAAAGTCTCGGTTGTTTTCGTTTCTGGAACACTTTCGATTAGCATGTTGTACCAGAGTAGTCCCATACATTGCTTAAGACGGGAAAAAGAGGGGGGGTTGTGTATAAATGACAAGCAACACAACAACAAAAGACACTCTGCGCGAACAGTCAAAGTCATACTAAATCAGTTTGTTTTGGATCACACGGTGTATAAAAATATACTCCGTCGTGAGTCACAACCGGATTGCGGATATTCTGTGACATAAATGTAAACTGATCGTGTTTAATTAATATAACATGCAAGATAAATTTTCCAACGGATATTAAGAAATTGCATTTCAATAAAATGCATGTTTTCTAAACAATACAATGTGGTTAACGACCGATTAATTTTTTTCCTAAATTTAGTGGTGCACGTGAATTTAGTTCTGAATGTGCCAAAATCCTTAAATAAGTTGTTACGTTTGACGTGAATCAGCCTTTGACAGCTCGTTAAGTCGTTACGTAATCGTTACTGAATCACATTAGCAGATGCTGTTACAACTAAATAAATAAACAATTGATAGGTCGTAAGTGACCACAGACAAAGTTGAAACTTTGGTATATTATTGGCCTATTAAGGTCTGCTTACACGATAAACAACAAAGCGCCGCAATTTATTGCTTTGACACCTCCCTCTTATTTACGACCTTCGAAAGTTGCACTGACAATAGGTTCTAACTTGTTTAAACAGCTCTTTAGGACAAAGACACCGTGTAAACAGAACGAAACTGTTGCTACGTGATTTCCTGTTTTGACAGTATACTTTTGCGTAAACCTTCATTAAAAATTGACTGTATTTATTTGGGTACTAAATATTATGATGTAGGTCGCAAGTGTCAACTGGTTGAAGAAAGTGTGTAAATGAAGGTTGCAATTTTGCAAGTAATTCGATCTTACTAAAAATTAAAAATGCAAATTCGATAAGTTTTTTTGCGCGCGAAATTTATTACGTAGGTGATCACACCATCACTAGATGAAAGTACAGTAAATATTTTTTGTTTTACTCAGTGGTTAACTTTGGTTTTTTTGATTGCAAAGTGATTTTAAATATAATCAGTTTATTTCGCAGAATAAGTTCATGACCAGTTTAAGTGACTCTTTAGTGTACTATTATCAACTAAAAAAAGATTAACTGATAGATACTAGTGAACAAATCCAGGAATAACAGGCCACTTTCCGTGTCAAGATTGACGTTGTTACCAACACGTACGACTTATACTTGACTCTTAATACTATGAAATGATAAATTTTACAACTTTTGCAAAGAAATTGTAATTCTAAACAGGTGTCTAGACACGATTCTATTTTAGATCAGTGTATGTGACCAGAGCCTTGTGTGCTAATTTAAAATTGGCTATTCCCAGAAGTGCACCGACGGGAGAGGAAAGTAATTTTGTAATTTATTCCACACAATTGACGCACGCAATCGGGGTTAAAAAGATAATTTGGCTGTTACTGTGATTTTTATACAGGGTGGAATACCAATTATAAACCTAACACCACCAACTTGACGTGCGTTGTCAAATAATATAACTGTCAACGGTCAGCCAAGTTACAAGATGCTTGTCAAAATCGTAATTAGTTGAATATTAAATTTGACACAGATGCCAAAACAACAAGTCATATACGTTATACATTCCTTAAAATATTCGAAATTTAGCTCGGCCGTTATTCCATCCACATGCATGTATCGTATGCAGGCAGACAAACGGGAAATCACGTCACTGGAAAGTTCACAGAACATTTACCGACAAACCATGCAAAATTCTGCAGCGGAAGAGCCACCAGACAATCGCAGGATATTCCACAAAATTAAAATGTCTTTCAAAAATAAGATTTTATTCGAAATCTAAAAGCAGATTTCAACGAATATGCAATGTAATAATTTTACAAAAAAGGGGAATTTTCGGGGACCTTGAAACGTTGCATACAACTAAAAATATAACATGTTATCATTAAGTACAATAATAATAATAATAAACTCTATGCGTGCGACATAAAGGTCAGTATTTGAACTTTGTATGCTCACTCGCTCCACATGTTGCATAATTTTGCGCGTGGAGTAGTCGAATTTTTAAAATTCACAGAACACAGGTGTGATAAGGGATTACAGTAATCGATTTTGAAGGTATTATTACATTTTTCAATTTACTTTTTATCGTTTAAACTTGAAGCGAGGTTAATGTCATAATGGGATCTATAGTGGCGCCACTTTCGTCAAATTGAGTGTCAAATTTGAATATATGACCTTGATACAATGACATAATTATATAACTATATAAGTAAAATTCTGTTCACAATATTCGAGTCAGAATATATAAAAAGTAGTCCCAATAAAACTGTTGACAAAAGATCATTGACACTTGTACAAACTTTTCCATGTCAGCTTTTTGAACAAAACCGCTATCAAGATGCTATTGATTGACTAGCCCAAATTTTCCAAACCGAAGTGAAAAAAATTAAACCAAACAAACTAAACAAGTAGTACATATTGACTGTTTCAAACACCATAAAGATCTGCAGGTAGCACCAGTAAAAACACAAAAAAAGACTTTTGACTCGAGATGAATCATTTAAAGTTCCTGAAATGCAGCATCGTCACAACCGGTTATTAATTGATAGTTCTATAGATCTCAGAGATCAAAATTATAGTTATCGTTTTAAATAAAACAACAATCCTGGAATTTCACTGACGGTCTTAAACGTTCCTAGAAGGAACCACTTGATGTTATGTGATTGAGAAGAATTAAATCACGTACATTTTACTGAGGGGGCAAATATTTATTTTACTACGCACCCAAATGACCACAGGTGTTTGAACTTTGCGCTAATTATTCTTTTTGTGTTTTGAATGGTCCATTCATAAAATGCGCGTCATAAGTGGACGTGACAGAAATATGCCAAAAGTGTGGCTGTTAATCATTCTAAGAAGATGATTAATGAGATGTATGACTGAGAAGAAAAGAGACAAGAGATACTTTGGAAAATTGTAGCGTTGGTGATGATTATATCAATATGTATAGTAGGTATAAACTAAATTTAGTTATTTTAGGATTTAAAATCTTGAAATTGGTAACGACAATAAAACACAAAAAGAGAAAGATATTTTGGTTAAGAAAGTATGCGGCTCGCTCCGCTCGATTGCCTATTGTGTAATTTGCATAGGTTTACCGTTTTGCACGTGAATGATGCTGCATTTGCAGTTGTCAAAAGTTACTAATTATCCCATTATGCGGTTGTTAATACAACATGGAAACGTAACCAATCCAGTACGGTGAAGTGACGCGAATAACGCCGGCGCTTGTGGCTAACCTTGTAGCACACCGACACGCGGATGAATATTCAAAGAAGCTTTAAAAAATGTTCGTTCTGAGTAAAATAAATTTAGGAAAAACTTGCGCAATTTTTATATGTCGTTAGTTGCGATTTTGTCACGTTTGCGGAAAGCGTAATCAGGCTAATAAATAGTTTTGTGTAATTATTTTAATGACACACACTTCTGGACGGATATCGTGCGCTGTTGACCCTAGTGGTTCCATGATTCTTATCGATAAATTAAATTGATAAAATGAAATTGTAAGTTAAATGCTTGAACACGTGCGTCAAGTCAGGTGGAGGGGAGTATCTATAAAACACCTACCCTCAAGCGGGCCGTTCATTCCGAGAACAAACAACCACACGAAAGTGCTGAAGTGACTGCCTTAAAACCAAAGAAAATGTGCGTGGGAAAAGTTGCAAGCAGTGATAGACTAGATGGGCCATTTAAGGCCCCTCGAAAAAACGTGATGAAAAATGTGGAATTTATCAATGAAAATGGAAAAGTGCCGTACCAGGAGGACATCCTAGCCGTGTCCACCTACTACACAAAAGTGACCCTTGTGATTCTAAACCAGTGGTTTAAAACCTTCCAGGATTCAATCTACTACAAGTAAGATTTACTAATCCATTGAAAAACTATTTTCTTATTCGGTTCGTTACAGAATTTTATTCCACACCACTCAACCCGCTCATGTGATAACCGCCATAGCCGTGATTATGGTATCCCTGATGCTGATACCCTCGGAAAAACAGACATCCCTCGAATCGCCCCTGTGGTCTCTGATCTACATGGGGTCGTTCAGTGCCCATTTCGGTGCTCAGTTATGGATGACGTTTATTTCCGGCCTTTCACTCTACTTTGCCCTGCCCCGTCATACTTTTGGCAACGTGCAGAAAGTGTTATTTCCAAAATATTTTCTCATTAATTCTATTTTGAGTTTAATAACACTTTATGTTTTCCTCCGTGCTCACAACTACCACCTAAAATCAGCGGAGATTGCTGCTCAGGTAAGCAGAAACTGCTCCATTCGACCGCACACAACCTAACTTTCTGATTTTTTTAATAGGTTGCTGGTATGACCTTGTGCTTTTTAATCGAGTTGGTGATTCGCTTGTACTTAACACCTCCACTACTTAGCTTGATGACCATAAAGAACCGAATTGAAGCACAAGCTGGAGTGGGGATGGAAGTTGGGAAACTGGTACCGGGAAATCTTTTGAACTGTCCGCACTATATGACAGTTCATAAAGCTTTCCGTAAGGTACACATGACCATTGCCATTGGAAACCTTATCACTATGGCGTGTACGATGTTCCACTTATATTATCTATCACAAAAACTTTGTGTACTATAATTTAATTATTTATTGTAATTCAAACCGAATACGATATTGCTTTATTTTAAAGCATTCCTAGTTTATAATATATTTATTTTTTTGTACCTTAATGTTTTTATATAAAACTATGGAATCACTGCGTTTTGTTTCATTCGTTCGCCAATGGAAGGCGCGTAGGTCAATCACCACTTATCAGTGGATGATACGCCGCTGTGTCTACTAATGTCACTACCGTTACAACAAATATTAAATAAAATAGTAAGTGTTGCAAACGTTTCAGCAGACGAAGTGACGTTTATTAGCTTAGAAAGTACCTACCTGGAGGTCAGTTATTACTATTAGCATCGACGTACCGTGAAAATCAATATTAGTGGAAATAAAATCCATGGTCTAGGTATCTTAAAACCCGGAACATTTGTTTTTATACCTTATTGAGTAATCGTATTTGATGGCAGTTTATTAAAAATTTACTACCGAGATTCTGGATGGTCGTAAAAAATTACGTGTGATGACATTCACTTCCATCAACCAAAAAACTTTTAATTTAACCCACGGATCGAGGTTTTATCACTTTTCGTTTTAATTTTATATTGTAGCTATTTCGATGCAGTTTAACTGTATGAAGGTCAAACAACTTGAGAAATAAATCGGGTCAAATGAACAAATTTGCATTCTAACTTTTCTAATTATATAATGCTACACCCGTGACTACCCGTCAACGCATCAGGGAATTTCGGTTTACTTGGTTGCAGACTTCCGTTTCATACAAAAATAAATGTCATAATATTAATGACATTTGTTGTACAACAAGTGTGTTTGTTTCTTTTATTCTGGTAGTAAATTCCATTCCAAATAGAGATAGCCAGATGTAATTTAATTAAGTAATAAAGATTAAATCCATTTGTTTAAGATTTAAAACGAAAGCTTGAAACTATAAAAATAAGAAACGAAAACCGCTTAGTCCAGTCTTAAAAATGAATAGTCGATAAGTAATAAATTTGACATTCAGTGAATTTAACCTTGAGATATAAACGCCCAATTACAACGGCGAAATTTTAAAAAATATATACTAGAGAGTGGTCAAAAATTTTGAAAAATTAGGAGATTTTTTCTTAGTTTGTCTTTAGCATCCTTGCGGTAAAATGTTAACTTTCATGGAAAGTCAAAAACCAAACAACATAAACACTTTTTCTACGCATTGTGTCGACCATATATGGAAAAATCTAAATAGAAAAAGTTTAATCTATCAATTGCACCAACACGTGCAGATTGTCAGGTAGAGAGGAAATTTGTCAAAATGATCACTGCTAATCGCTCACACTAATCCGTCAATAATAATATCTATTGTTGCAACAATGATCATACTTGTTTCGTTATAAGAGAGAATTAAACTTTACACTATACTATAGGAACATATATATAACGCAACGTAGCCTACTGCCTACACGTTGTTTTTTTACCTGTCAACAGTTATCGTATTAGAAATTTTTTTTTGACGTTTATATTCCATTTTCACCAATGTTCCAATGAATCCATTAATTAGGTCATATAACGCCATACGTAACCCAGTGTTATCATATGTTGTCTGCTCCGTGTCGGCTGTTATCGATTCCCACAATTAAGTGTTCATTTTTTAAAACTTAAAAAAATATGAGTCACCGATATTTTAAAATACGGATTTAAAGCGATAGTAAAAGTAAGCGCAAATAAATATCGAAATCATATAATATTCAGAGAAAATGAATCAGACTTCTTATTTACTTAAGTTAAATAATTCAAATGAAAAAAATAATGCATTAATCTTGGTTTAAAAATAATATATGTAAATATTAAATTAGTATTACATTGAATTTGTACTCACGAACCGCCGCTGCCACGATCACGTGGTATGAAATCCCCAATGCCATTTGCTGCATCCACAAAGTCATTGAAAATCATACAACAAAAACTAACAATAACTCTAATAAAATTGTATAGAGTGCTTTTCAACTGTCCAGAATGTGATTTCGCCGCTTTTAATTCCAAACAGTGGTAGGTACACACTATTTTCAAAGAGCAACATCTCGTCGGAATGTAAAATTGCCTCCCTAGTGTCGAAGACTGTGCTTTGGCATGGATGACGTGACTCTAGTAGTGTCTGGGAATTTATTATGTCCAGAGTCTGGACTTAACCGGAACTGCTGACCTGTGCCATTCCGCTGGTTAGCGACCTATTACCTTACGAATTCAGTAGAGTCAAGGTCGATTGAAGTGCACATTTTAGATGATTGGAAGCTTCCGATTCATCTGTCGCGTAATTTATATGCGTCGGTGAAACACGATATAGCCGTGCCCTGTAAAATTGCTTGTTGACTTTTATTATATAAACATGCATTTTTGTTTTTATGTATTGGTTTATGCAAGGGGAACTATTTGGACACATGAGTCACGATTTGGCATACAATTTGAAGCATAGAAAACTAATATAGTGGACATTTCGTCACACGTTGTTACCTTGTATGCCTCATTTGACATGTGTAATTACAGTTTCAAAGTCAGTGATAGTAGTATATAGTGTTTATACAGGGTGACTTTGAAAGACATGCGGTTAAGGACAAAAACAATTTTCAGAAGTATTCAATATGAAAAAACCTCATAAATGCCACTTAAGTGAAATCAGCGTCTTTATATTTAGCGCCAACTATACACGATTTTTTGTGACATATCAAATTTAATTAAAGTCATTGAAATTTTAATTTTTAGATTTGATCAATAACCTCGTTCTAAATCAGTATAAAGAAGCTATTCAATTTGTAATGAGATTGCTGCGGATTGTTTATAGAATTGCGATTATTAAAGTTTACTTGATTTGTTATAAGTAATAAGTTAATTACTTATAAAGTAGTTTACGCTCTATTTATTATGAATATAATCTTATCAAGCGAGAGGATTAGAGAAATTTATTATTATTAAACCAAAATTGATAACAATATATTAGTAGTCGTTAAAGGACAATACAAAATGAATATAAAATACTTACAAATGAAAAAATACGGTTTTAAATTGATTACAATTTTTTTTACAGTATTACAGTTTACAATCGCATTAAGTAAACAAGGATACAAAGAAAACCCACATTATACACTGTATCAATTTATTAATTACCGAACTTCCTTCGCCGCTGGAGGATGACCGCGTGCACTGTCATGCAAACGTAAAACAACACCTGATGAATTTAGATGGTGATCTGTCATTTCTAAATCAATGTTAGTATCCCATTAAGTTTCGAAGCTTTTTTTACACGGATCTGTGAGTCTTGGATTCGCCATGACAGTGCTGTTTCCGTTTATAGTGAAAATAAATAATTACCGATACGTCAGATATGACGTGATGGGTTCGTACCATGGAGCCATGGACGAATGAATATAGTCCTTCCTCCATGGTCCAAGCCTCTCGAGGGGGAATTTCCGTCATTTCTAAAGAATCGCCACAATGAAAATGTTGAATGTCACTGCTCGGGTTTGTACCCTTTTTACCTGCTAAAGGAGAGTTCCGACTATCAAGACTGAATTAGGTCGTTGTAAGAATGTCAAGTATTCGCAAAATCTACATCTGGTACTAACTATATTTATACAAAATATACAAGTATGTCAATCAATTTATGTTCTCTGTATGAAACGACTGTACTTAGCTACGCGGCAATTTTGAATTGCTGCCATGCGTTTTAAGTTTTTTACATAGTGTAACACAGGTAATGTTTTTTGTTATCAAATTTTGTTTTTGAAAGGTCAGTTGTCCTTGGTTTGTGGGAATTATTTTTAACTTATCATTTGCCATTTCGGTACGAATTTATCCCTTGACTGTAATTTAATCCACTGGTTCGTTTGTCTGAGGATTAGACACTACAAGTCGGGAAAGATTATAAATATATCGTGATAAGATTTGACACACAAATTTTATTTCATTATAGGTATATTAGACATACAAGATGAAAAACTAGTTTGGGTTTAAGAGGTTAATCACACGAGAACCATTTTTTAATAAATAAGTATTAACTGTCAGTCTGGCACACTATTTCCGTATACTAATAAAATTTTATAGCCTATTAGTGTCATTTAGACTAACGATGTAAAATAATCTGTCTATAATACGACTTTGTTCAACGTTTGACGATCGTCAATCTTAAATGTTTCTAGTTTGACGGACTAGGACTAAGAACTGAAGCTAGTAAAATATTATCAGTAGGTATACGAATGTGGTGTGCCAGTAGTTTGGACTCGAATTATAAAGTTTATTGATTGCCATTGTTGATCCCACGCTAAAAATTCCGTTAAATAACAATAGCATCAAAAATGGGACCGAGTTAATGAAGGCAGAAGGCGTGGGTTAAAAAACGAACTTATTGATTACAAAAGTGAAAAAGAACACATTCTAGAAGAAATTTATTTGGAGTAGAGACTTCGGAAAAGGATCAATTTAAGAAGAAACGTGAAAAACAGAAACAGTACAACCCTTATTAAGTGAAAAAAAGGATAAAATTTGAATAATATTGGCATCAGTAGTGTGATGCTTTTTATGTACTAAATTGTTGTTAGAATTATTTAAGGACCTTGTTAAGGTTTATGTTATTTTTTAGGTAAAACTGGGTCTTGAATTCAAATGAGATAAGTGACCTTGACATAAAATGACATTTGCAAATATAGTCAAACCACGGTGAGTCAAACGATGAGAGCTTTTGAAATCGAAGTTTACGATTGACTGGTTTTAGCGCCTCGTCCATCTATGTTTGTATTCAGGTACTAAAGCTAACAACTTTCTGAATATAGTTGGTGTCTAGTTTGGGTGAGAGATGGCGCTGGAGTCATAAATGTTTCAACGTGGTAGAGTAGGCCATCTATAATACATTATTTTGATTGCATTTGACTGCATTCAACATGGAGATTTTGATTACAAGAAAATAGGAATTTATAAATAAGTTACTATTAATCATGTGTAGTGTGTTTGGTACTATCTGCAAGTTGTAATAATTAAAAATGTCTTCCAAGAGGTAAGTTATAAATTATGTAAGAACGAATAGTGGTGTATGTTCTCTAGCATGTAATTCTAGGCTGTAGTTAACCTATTTTTTCTTATTTTTTGAAGTATTTCAAAACCCACATGAACTGTCTCAGAAAATGAATTTGTATGTTTAGTGAGTTCATTTAAGACCTTCAAGCCCGTTTTGAGTTAAAAATTGTAAAAATTTTTTCATTTTGAGTGAATCATTGATTCCTAATATGTAGTGTGTAACCACTATTGTTTCTTTTTTAGTGAGTTAAAAAAGTTATCGGAGGAGAGTTTGACTCGCCAGCCAGAGGAAGTGTTTGATATAATATGTAAGCTGGGTGAGGGGTCCTATGGGAGTGTTTACAAAGCACTCCACAAAGAATCTGGTCAAGTATTAGCAATTAAACAAGTACCTGTGGATACTGATCTTCAAGAAATCATCAAAGAAATCTCAATAATGCAACAATGTGACAGTCCCTATGTTGTTAAATATTACGGTAGTTATTTCAAAAACACCGATCTGTGGATCGTTATGGAATATTGCGGGGCGGGATCCGTCTCTGATATAATGAGGCTGCGTAAGAAAACCCTCACAGAAGACGAAATCGCCACGATTTTATCCGACACGTTGAAAGGCCTAGAGTATTTGCACCTACGTAGAAAAATCCACAGGGACATCAAAGCCGGAAACATCCTGCTAAACTCGGAAGGTCACGCGAAGCTAGCTGATTTCGGCGTCGCGGGACAATTGACTGACACCATGGCAAAGAGAAATACTGTGATCGGTGTGTAAAAACCGTCAGACGGACGAATAGTGCTACTTTGGTTTCAGGTACCCCGTTTTGGATGGCTCCTGAAGTGATACAAGAAATAGGTTATGATTGTGTCGCTGATATTTGGAGTTTAGGTATTACGGCCTTAGAGATGGCTGAAGGTAAACCACCCTACGGTGATATTCATCCAATGAGAGCAATATTTATGATCCCCACAAAACCACCGCCTTCGTTTAGAGAACCGGACAAGTGGTCGGCTGAATTTATAGATTTTGTTAGTGTTTGCCTTGTTAAGAACCCTGAAGAACGCGCTAGTGCCACTGATTTACTCAATCATGTATTTATAGGTAAATTCGTATTTTGATTGTTTATATAGGGTATAAATTGTCATTGTTTAGGTAATGCTAAACTTCCTAGTATTCTAAACCAAATGATTCAAGAAGCGCACGAAATTAGAGAAAACCAAAGTTATAGGAACGTTTCATCTGCCGCTAATATCGTAGGAGTAAGGCAGAATATCACAGAAGAATCTGTACGTGTAAAAGCGGAAAAACTGATTTTGATTCGTGTTAAAATTATGCTTTTAGGACGATGAAGTAGCATTAGGAAATCAAACTATTCTTCCTTGTACAGACGAAGGTACTTTGGTACCTGGTAAAGGCGGAACGTTGCTGCCGGTATCACAAAGCGGGACGCTCGTGGAACTTGGTACAATGGTAATCAATAGCGATGTTGACGAACAGACAATGAAACGTAAGTTTTACATAAAAGCTGTATTGTTGTGCTAAAAATGAAAACTATTATCATCAAAAAAATCTCACAAATAATCGTCGCACATCAATCATCGTCCAAATTTAAAAATTAATTTACGACACTTCCTCCCTTTTGTTTTCAAAGACCCACCGCGCTACCTAATTTCGCAGTTATTTTTAGCGAATCATTTAAATTATTAGCAAGTTGGCGTTGACAAGTGACAGATGCGTTGGGGTGATAAAGGCAGGAAAATACAACGATGGAATAATTAACTTGTGTTCGTTTAAATAATAGATATCAATTGAAATGTTTATGTTAAATAAATAACCCTGTCGGAACTACGATCTAAAAAGCACGGCTTCAACAGGTGAATAAATCAATCAAGATTGCGGTTTTGTGCAGATCAATACGGCGCAGGTTATAAATAACTGTCAAAAATGTCAACGATAATCCCCTGAACAATAAAAATACCTAGTGGCTGGATTTTTGTTAGTTCTTTGGGGGTGTTCAAACTTTGACAGTTGTTTGACGTGCCGCCGCCAACTACTTCAGTTTTACCAACATAACTCAAGCTTTTGTTTCATTATTTTGTCGGAACCAAATTACGCTAGGGATTATTGTTTGTAGGTACAGTGGTTATGAAATATAGTGTACACTAATAAGCTCTAAATGGGTCACACATAATAAACATTGCGTTAATAAATTTTTACTATATTTTTAAGTGGAGTAGATGGGGGAGCGCCTGTCACTCATTTCCTTTATCGCTCTATCTCACTCCCACTTGAGCGGTGTTCAACAACAATGAAAAAATTTTGAATTCTCTTACTTATATCTCATTTTTGTATAGATTGTTGAAATTCGACATACTAAATGTAAAATACTATTAAAACTCATTTTTGTTTTGTTTTTTTTTTGTATAGCGTCAATGATTCATGTAATAAAAATCCAAACTCATAATTATTACTTGTACCAAGTAATAATAAGTGGGATCATGCAAGGTCGTCGAGAAATATCAAGAAGTTTTTATAGGTTAGATTTTCAAAGAAAAATTTTGTTGCTATGTAGCAACTATAGTTGTCAAAACATGATATATTCTTTTTAGAATCTGAGACGATCTAAGAATAAGCTGAACAAATCCAAGAAACAGATTTTTAGTTTTTGAGCGCTTTCTCGGTAAAAATTAAAAATGTTCGGTTGCTATGACGAGATCTCAATAAAAATCGCACTGGTATTTGACGTTTATTTATCTTTCTTTCTGATTTGAACGTTGATTTAATTTTTATAGGGAGTGTGTATTATTGTAGAGTTAATGCGTCTACGGTTTTTGATAAAATATTAGAATTTGCCAAAAATTGGTTTGAAAGATGTTTCATAAACAATAGAAAGAGAGTTGGTGTTTTGTTTACTTCTGTTTTAACGGAATAAATTTAGACGACATTGAAAATAGACGTGCGCCGATTTGTTTTCATTTTTCGAGAAATTGGTGAATCCAGAACTGCATAACAACGCGCATATGTCGAAATAATGTGTATTTAAGGTAGCAGAAACAAGTTGATTCATATTTTTACCGCATCAAAAACAAGAACAGAATGGATAATTTCTTTCAACACAATGAAATCGTATTCAGTGTTTTCGAAAAATTATAAAAATGATTTTGCGAGTTTTATTTTTATGAGAACCCGCATAAGTTGAAATAAACATATGTATGTTATGTTAAAGTAAATGTAAAGAAGCGTAATTAACATCCCCGCAAAAATATAAACATTCTCAACTTCTCAGTATATGCTTAACTTCGACTGTTTATGTTTACCACGCTTACGATAATCATAAAAAGCTTTCGGTTTTATAATTTCAAAGTTAAATTGTAAAATGTTGTTATTCAATTTTGATTTTGTTCTCAAAAATCTGGATGTCTAGTGTGTGAAATCGACATGGATTCTAAATCATACATGCAGGAGTATGCAATCCTATAAAATTAAACTGTAAAATGTTTAAAAATGCATTAAAAAAACTTCACCACAAAAATTGACTTGCTTAAAAAAAACATACAATATCTTAAAGTAGATGAAAAAACTGGTAAAAAAAATATAGCTCAAATAAATGAAAACAATTGGGTCGTTATTGTTTTAGAGGGCCATAAACGAAAAAAAATAATTAACGATTTACCATGCTTACAATAACCATAAAACAGTTACAAGATGTTGTAACTTTGATTTTTGTCCAAAAATCTGGATTTCTAGGATAAAAACTTAACAGGGGTTCATAAACCACATGTATAGGAGTATAGTGGGATTTATAAACTCCGTTGCCAAGTTGCCGTTGATAGTAATTTTGAGTTCAACTTTTGCCCTATTCAAAGGGGTTGTAGAAGAAAAGTGGACGATTTAAGTTAATTACTACAAAAATTTGCCATTTTAGACATGTTTTAAGTTTCTTGCCGTCGAATAAGTCTACACATATTAAGAAAAAAGGCAAAATATAAGCCCCGCCCACCCACCCTGTCTCCAGTTTGATGATTTTTTTTTAATCGTCGAGAGCCAAAGGAACGGAATTAATTGCAAAAGCCGTGTTATTCAAAGAGTACTACAGGGTGTTTCTTTTATTTGATACAACCCCTGTAATTTTTTTATTCTTAAAGATAAACCTGTAGTTCTTTGAACAAATGTATCATTTTAAAAGATCTATGTGATAGCAACCTCACATTTATATTATCACTTCCGGTAGAACCGGAAATGACATCAACTTTATTTTTTTTGTGGAACACTTGGTATATTTTTCATAAATGGAAAGACTGATTTTTTCTAAAAATCAAAGGCAACCAATATTTCTAAAATCAATACTTAAAAAATTATTAAATAAAATAGACGAAAAATTCATATTAATTGATGACAATCTAGTAGCTTGAAAAATTGACACTTATTCACATAGGTGATCTTTTAAAATGATACAAATTTGGTCAAAGAACTATATGTTTATTTTTTAAAATAAAAAAATTATGAGGGTTGTATCAAATAAAAGCAACACGTGGTATATATTAAGAAAAAATTTAAGCCAAAAATTAAGCCCCACCCCGATCTAAATAGTAATGAAGTTTTCATTCGTTGGCAGACCTAGAGCCCAATTACCATTTTAAACGTGTTTTAGTTTCTAAGAATACAAAAATCATCACAATTGAGATGGGGTGGGTGGGTGGGGTTTATATTTTGCCTTTTTGTCTTAATATACATATTTTGAACAACACGATACTCAAAAACATGTTTTTAATTTTTTGTAAAGAAATAAGTATTTTGCAGTTAATCTCCGCCCTCTTGATTTACCGCGAATAAAAAAAATCATTACAATTGAGATAGGGTGGGTGGGCGGGCTTACATTTTGCCGTTTTGTTTTAATATTATGTAGACGTCTGTTCACAACATGAAACTTAAAACATGTTTAAAATGGAAAATTTGTGTAAGGAAATATCGATTTTGCAATTAGGCTCTGCCCCATAATTGCAAAATCCATATTTTCTTGCGAAAATTTACCATTTTAGCCAAGTTTTAAGATTCTTGTTGTGAAAAGATGGCTATGTATATTAAAAAAAAGGGCAAAATATAAGCCCCGCCCACCCGCCTTGTCTCAATTCTGATGATTTTTTTTTATTCGTCGTAAGCCGAGGGGCGGAGCTTAATTGTAAAATACTTATTTTTCACGAAAAATTACCATATGAAATATGTCCTTAAGTAAACGTGTTATAAAAAGAAATTAACCAAAATGTATTAATTAAAAAAGAAATCTAAAAGAGAAGCCCCACCCATCCGTCTCGATCTCAATCGTGATGAATTTTTCATTCGTTGTCGGACCGAGGGGCGGAGCGTAATTACAAAATCGATGTTTCCCTACACAAATTTACCATTTTGAACCTGTTTTAAGTTTCTTGTTGTGAAAAGATGGCTACACATATTAAGAAAAAAAACGGCAAAATGTAGCCCCGCCCACCCGCCCGTCTCAATTGTGACGAGTTTTTTATTCGTCGTGAGCCAAGAGGGCGGAGCTTAATTGCAAAATCCTCAAAAACATGTTTTTGAATATCGTGTTGTTTAAAGAATCATCCCAAGCTCAATTGTGATGAATTTTTCATTCGTTGTCAGACCGAGGGGCGGGGCTTAATTGCAAAATCGATACTTTCCTGCAAAAAATTACCATTTTAAACATGTTTTACTTTTCTTGTTTTGAAAAGACAACTACACATATTAAGAAAAAAGGGAAAAATGTAAGCTCTTGTAGTTATAATACCTAATCTGTTTTTGAGACGAATAGTAGTAAATCTTGTTGATTTTAACGTCGAGAACTATTTTTAACAATACATGAGTACTGATAGAAAGCTACAGTGTAGAAAATGATGGCAGCCACCATCTACACGATATTCGTAATCCACATATAAAATTTGACAATTGGTTCAGTAGTTTCGGAGATTAGCTCTCTAATAAAATTCCGAACAGACGGCAGACAGACAGACAGACGGACGAACGAAAATGTACACTGTAAAAAGATGCTCTTATTTAATATTTACATATGTAGTTTTTTATGCGTCTGTTATAATTTTATTGCATTTTTAATTGTAACATCCTGGATATATGAAAAATGTAAACAATTGTATAAAAAAGTAGACAAGAAAATTCCCGGTGTCCCGGGGGCACAATCCGACATTGTCAAGTTGAAATCTATTTTGTGGACTTGAAAGTAGCAAAAACTTGTTGATTTCGTACTTCTGGCTAAGTTTTTAATGATGAAGTTTTTGCGTTTAAGATATTAATAATTACACTAAGTTACACAAAAACTGACCGCATAAAAAGTGCAGTTTATTTTTTAAAACAAGCGCCAAGTTAAGGTGTGAATGAAATCACAAAATGAATTATCTAGCAGACCAAAATCAGATTGTTGTTTCTTGGGAATCTAGTAAGCACTGGAACTTGCTCATATTCTTCATAATTAATAATAATATGACATTAAGAGTTTTGAGGTTAAGTTTGTTGAAAGACAGTGGGTCGTCAACCAATTAGAAAAGAGAACAGTTCTAATTTCAATAACTAGTGGTGTTCTGTGTTTAACTGGCGTTAACTTTCCAGGACATGACACTGGTTCGAGCCAAGGCGGGAAGAAGTACAGACCTCTGTTTTTGGAGCACTTCGACAAAAAGGAAGCAGAAGTAAAGGTAATCGAAAGCGAAATAGTTGATAATTATGGTGTTTTGTTTTATGTCGATTAGGGTAACGGAGTTGTAACCCCGACCACGTTAGACGGTCCAGAAATAGTTCATGACGAGCAGCGTTTTCAGAGTCATTTTCATGTACAATTAAATCAGGTGCCGTCACCTCAGCAGGCTCAACCGCAAGAACAAAAAGCACAATTTCACAGGCCTTTCTCAGATGGCGACTTTGAATTTGTATGTACGTGATTGAACGACTGTACCGTTTTTAAATAAAAATTTCCAGTTGAAGTTTTTGAGTTTCGAGGAGTTGCAACAGAGGATGGCCAAACTAGATTTAGACATGGAGAGAGAAATAGACGAACTTCGTAGAAGGTATCAGATCAAAAGGCAACCGATCCTGGATGCTATGGATACAAAACGTAAGCGACAACAGAACTTTTGAGAACAATCAGGTTATTGTTGCAATGAAGAGATGGTGCTCAAAAAGTTTATATTTTATTACATACTTGCCATTTAGTTTATCATTGTTATTGTTTAATTCAATGCTTTTTGAGCCAAATATTGTTAGACTACATTTCAATGAGGAACGTGTTCCTACTTATTGTACTTACTGAGTTTGTTTGCGTCAACTGCAGCTACTCCCAAATTATTCCAACCGATCGTGGAACTAGAAATTGGCGATTTCGGTTTAGTTTTGTAAAAAATTAACAGATTTGGGACGCGCTGGATTTTAATTATCCTAATTTTCGTGCAAATATTTTTTCGGTATAGGTTAATTAGAAAATATTTTGCCATAAAAACCGCACCAATTAGGTATCATTTTTATCCATTTTAATAAATTCTATTGCCTTCACCACGTTTGAGCTTTTTATCAGTGTTATTTTCTTTTTGTACAGTCATTTTTAACGTTGTGTAACTAGGTTATAACCTGTACGATAAGTACGCTTGCTGTGCCTTTAGTAGAATATCTAGGAGTAAGTACGAGTGTAATCATATTTTTTGATCAAATAAAATTCATAACTAACGATTTACTAGTCTTTATTATACCTTACCGTAAAACGCAGTTTGACAGCGACGGGTTTGTGTGTGTTTCTTGGAAGGAAAAGGAGAATGATAAGAGCGAGAAATGTTTCCAATATATATTTACAATTATAGTCTAGTACAAGTAATTTCACAATAAAACAAATACATGGTCAATCTCAGAGTACACAATGAAAACAATTGCTCTTATTGATAAGCCTTCAAGTTTACTCTTTAAATGTTAATAGCTGCAAAACTGTGGGTAAGACTTGAACATCCTATTGCATTGAGTATTGCTTAACTTATTGGTCCAAGACCTACGTATGTACTCTACGTAATTAAAATAATGGCGTTTTGCAGCTATTAACATGCGTTTATTACCTACACATAAAAAGAACGTATTTAATAAAATTAGTGCCAATTCTAAATGGACATTTGAACAAGTTTTAAAAAAGCACCCTGTCAATGTGTGTAATGGAACCGACTTTTCTTTGATGCTGATTTTTATTGAATTTAAATCACAGCTCTAGATTCTGTTTTTACTGTACCAAACAACAAACTTTTGTGGTAAACTAAGATAAGTAAATTTCTTTAGATCACGTCACGTTAAGTGTAAAGACGATGAAGTTGATCAAATATGATACAATAAGCACTTAGTCTACACTACAGTAAATGTGAAAGGCACTGTTATATAAATGTTAGTGTAAAATGATGTACTTTAGAAATTGTAAAACTAAGACTACATGTAACAATTGTCAAATATATATATGTACATATACATTATACCAATTAAAGGCACAAAATGGAGGGATTAGTTTAGTGTGAGCATCATGTATGTATGTATCAAGTTAACGTAACCCATCTTCGATTACTGCAACAAGACTGTTCCTGAAAGGAGCAGGGGTGCAATATAAATACAGTTAACAATAAAATTAAATAGGTATACAGTCAAGTATTCCTATTAATCAATCAAAAATACAAATCAGAAATAGAATTTTTAAACATTCAATATTTTCAAACACGATTACATTATCACAACGTTAGATTTGGAACAAAGAGGTTAAAAAAGTTATACATGATATAAATTAAAATTGTTAAATAATTAACTCTAAAACACAACAATAAATAAATATGTAATCCAATTTTGATTTCAGTACTTGGCATTACTTTAAACATCCTTTATACTTTCTGACGAGATATTTTTTCAAGAAGCGGCAAATCCAAGTTCGTTTTATTCACCTAATCACTTGAAGACTACCGCATTCGCCGCTACTTGACAAAACATCCGATTAACTGCTCCATAAAAACTACAATTACTAACTTAAAAATACAAACTATAAAATACATATGTATGAAAAACATACCCAACAGTAATTGATTTGAGAATTACAAATGCGATAAATGTAAAATTAAAATGTACTTTAAAAATATAAGTTTTGATTATTATTGCCATTTAAAGCGTATTCAAATGGTATATATTGCAGAAAATTAGTCGACAGTCCTTGCGTCATCATAACTGTCAGTGCTGTCTTATTAACTTGGTAAATTTATATAAATATAAAAAATTTCATTGTTTCACATATAACTGAAAGATGCTGAGCTGAAGTAGGCTACTTAAGTAGGCACTTTATTACAACCAAATGAGCACATTATCAGGCTTTGTTGTAGGTGTATTTATTAAAGATGTTACGTCATCATCTAAAATGACAGTTGGGAATTCTTCCCCCAGTTGAAGCGAAGGCACTAAATCATCTGTACAGTCGATATTATCACTTAATGACGAAATGTCCGGGGTGTCCATTGTGTGACTTTCACTGCCTACCTCCATATTGTCATCCATATTTGCTAAGAAGTCCTCTGGCGTGTGAGGCATCGAGTATGTCGTTCCCAAACCTACCATCAAAATACGAAAAATAAATACTTTATCTTAATTACCGTCCTCGTTTGACTTTCGCGATTAAAGCAAATTCGATTAAAAAATATATTGTGTAAGCCGAGTTAAATTCAAAGTCCTATTTTCTTCCTTTCTTTTTTTCCTTTTAATTTGATTATTACTAAACGATGCAGATAACGTCTATATTTGCTTGTTGTCTGGTCACTTCAAAGTCAACCGTTTTCAGAGTACCTGGCTTTCAATGACAATGCTGACCACCACAACCTTGGTTTGGTCAACGCCACAATGACATATAACAAGTAATATTTTTTTAAAAACACGAAGTACACAAACCCTTAAATGGACAAAGTTAAGTTGCGTGACAAAGAAATTCCAAGAAATAAAATATCGATTAGTTGTACTACCCTTGAGCAAACTTTGTCCAAACAAAGAAGTGCAACTAAAATTATTTTAACATTCCTAAATTTAAATCTTATTACTGACTATAAAGTCAGTGTTGACAGATCAATAGAAAGTAGATAATGACTGCCTTGTCGTTTCTGACACGTCAATTAAGCAAAAAGTTACACTTTAAAAATCTCATTACGTCTAACGACAAACTGCAGTAGTTAAAATCTCGTTAAACAATGAAAAAGTTTGTTTCATTTACCTTGGAATATTGGTAGTAAATACTACAAAGGAAAATTTCATTAAACTTTTTTTTACACTATGGCAGCACGGAATTGGAATCAAATTCTATTTTATGGGCTACATCGCTAAATAATGGCAATATCAACACGTGGTAACAACCACTTTTAATAGCATATTGAAACGATATAACAATGGTATCAAATTTTATGACGGTAAACAGGTTACAATTTTTTCTCTTAAACATTTCCATCGCCGTGTGTGCAAAATCGAATTTTGAAAAAGAAAGCCATTTAATTAAAAAATCTGACCGACTTCATTTGACATTGAAAATTTTCAAGCGGCAACTGTCATACCGCTTTTGATTATATTATATATCTTAATAAGCGAGATATTGCTCCTAAAATAAAATCGCGGAGACCCACAGTGCACTTGAAAATAGGTACAATTGAAGCATCGTGTGGTTGACCTTGAAAACTTGCCCAACTTGACTTGTTATAATTCTTTAATTGAAAAAAAAATCGTCCGTCAAAGTATCGGCGGCATGTCAACTTCGCAAAGCATAATCATCCGCCATTACAAATTTTATACCAAAACCAGCCTTCTTGTCAACAAATTAGCCGGTAATTGAAAATACTCGGAATTTTTACATTTTAATCTTGTGACAAGGTAGGAGGAATCAACAAGTGCATTAACATTTACGATCCAACGCAACAACTTTTCTCGATCTGACGAAATTTTAGACGTGTAATTTAAAAGTGGTTGAACTTGTGAACTTTATTTATCAAATTTTCACACAAAGATCGAGAATGTGTAATGAAAACGAGCCGAGTCGTAATCGCCCTGACGACTTCCCTTGACTGTATAGTGGGTGGAAACGAACTTACCTAAACCACTGTCCGCCGATTCTTGCCGCGAATGGTCATTCAAACTGGTTAAAAAAGGATCCAACGCTACGTCACTCGAACTACCCCTCATCATCAATTCCTGCTGCATTCTGATTTCTTGTTGCCGTAATTTCAGTCTGTCACGTTCAAACTGCAACAGTTGTAGTCGAAACTGTTGTTGTTTGGCAGGAGACGATTGCGATAAAGAACCTGTATGCCATGACTGTCCAGCTACCGATCCAGTGCCAGGTGATCTCTGTTGTAAATGTGTCGCTGTAAACAAGACCGCTTATCAAAACCAAAATTTCGAAAACGTCACGGCTTAACTTACGAATTCGAGGGTCAAACCACGAAGTAGTACGTGTTTGATGATTTATGAAGTAAATCTCTCCTTCAGGAGTTTGTGCCTGCTCCCAACCTTCAGGCAAAGGGCCTAAATCTACGTCTGCATTCACTTTGGCAGCTAGAGAAAATAATTTCCTCAGGTAACTTTAATTTCCGATAGTGAAGGATCAGGCGTCAGTTATCCGATACAGTTCAGAATTTTGACAAGGCTACTTTAACTTGGGGAACAAGGAAAGAATCAACTTAACCTTGAATTTAAGTAAGTAACGTACAACCATACGCAGGTCAACGTTACTTTGAGTTAACCACACCCACAACCGCTTCAAATTGTACAAGTATTGTTTACACTTAAATCATCAAATTTGACTCTTATACAAATGTCAAATTCATTACAGTAATGGCGCGAAAGTGAGGCGTGGTTAATCTCTGTGGTACGAAAGTAATACAAGTATAAACGCTGTGTTTGAATAAATTTGACCAATCCAACCCTCTCTCTACAGTATGCGCATTATTAAATTATATCATAGTTTTGTCAATTTAACCAAACCCCAAATCTTATGTTGGTCAGTAATCCGATTGGACGATGCGTAATAACCTAATAACATACCTAGGTATATATCGGTAACGTCACTCAGAAATTTCTGAATTAAAAAAAACCTTTACTATTCTTGTTTACGAAATTAAAACTAGAATGTTAGTATTAAATTTTACGATAATTCCCCATTCAAAATGTAATAAAAGTGAGTACATTTTGTTATTTCTCGTTGTTGGTGTTTCAGTCACGTTTCGTGAATATTATTGATTTTGTCGTCATAATATGGGTTTTTGAGTTTTTATTTAAAAATTCATCAGTATATGAATCCGGTTAAGAATTATACACCGACCATGGCTTCAATTGTTAGTGTCCACCAATATTCAAGCGCGGGAAATACGAAAATTGCAAAAACTGTAGAATACAAGTATCTGGTCAAATTTTTCAATTCATTGCGTCTTCAAAAAATTTTGAACTGCAATTAACATCATCAAATTGTACCAAAACAGTGAATTACTGGTTAAAAAAATGGACTTACGGGTCGAAGTATTTGAAGCTTGTTGGTGTGAAGTCAGCAGTTCTGCACTTTGGTGTTGTTGGGCGGCAGCTTGGGCAGCTAACGATTTTCGCGGGTCTTCCCACGTTGTAGTTCTCGTTATGTGACTGTAAAAAAAATGGAATAACATTTAAATCGTTCACTAATAGTTTCGACATTCAGTAAATATTTGGCCCCGCCCTAAGCATCTATCCCAGATACATCCCCTTCACATTTGCGGTCACGATTACGTCATGACGCCTTCTTTGTTAAACTTTATAAAATCGCGTTCCGTTGCAGTCGCATTTTGGCAAAATCCAAATTATGGCGCGTTTTATGGATTATAATGAAATCATTATGCAACATGGCGTCGTACTTTCGCAGAGGTCTAGAAACCGAACAAATAAAAATATTTAATGCAACATCAAGTTTTATTTACTTTTAGTTTTATTTCCGTTAAGTTCGTTAACGAATTTTATCGCTGGTACCACATGGTTTCCATAAAACAGGCGTTTACCTTAAATCATTAATTATTTTAAAATTATTACCGCGCAATCAAGTAAAAGTGAAGGCTTGTGGGGATTTGTAAATTATGTAAATCAATAACAATTAAAACATACTCAGCGTGACCACAAATGGCTAGTACAGTTGGTACTAATCGCAAAAGTAGAACTGGAACCAAAATGTCAAAATTGAATCTATTTCTGACGAAAGTGAATCATAACGAAATTAGAAAAACCTCATTTACGACTATGGGATGTATTATCATAATTTGCTAGACTTGGGGTTAGCCGAAACCTCAAGTTTGTGGTTGGGTAGAAAACTCGCTACGTCAGCGAGTCGTTTAAACAAAACAAATTACATGTTTTGATTTGAACTTATTAGGTAACAATTTAAAGATTACAATAACGTATCATCCAGCAAGAAATTTGAGGTTGTGGTACGTTCGCGAAACAAGTGAGGTTAAGTTGCGCAATTTAAGTACTTCATCGTTGTTTAACTCCACACAAAAATGACGCAGTTTTTCAAACATTTTGATGTTGCAAATGATGACGTTTATATTACAAGTAGGGTAGATAATCTCCTTTTATAAAAACAATGATACAATCTTTATTCTTATTGATAAGACAGTTAAATAAACACTTGATTATCACCGTTTCAAGGAAAGATTAAAACTTACATAGATATGAAATCTTAACAAAGGTAATAAATCTATAAAAGAAGAACAAACACCTTACGTCACGTTTGGTTTATCTAGCGGGAGAAAAACGTTTCATACATTGAATAATTGTATCTTGATCTGAGGTAATTCCCATAGACTCAACCGCACAACAATGGCCACGGTTTTCCATTTTGTTTGTTTGCATGCAAATTATTACTTAGGTCGCGAATGACATAATCACACGAATTTGTTTGATACGGCTAACAATGACTTTAAATTCATCTGGTCATGTTAATGAAATTCTACTATATGTAATTGTGTACAGTCTATAGTAAAATTGTCTGCGTCCACTTGTCATTTTATTACGAACGAATTTAATGTAGTACACCAAAATAAAAAAATCCTCAAGGCAATCATAAATTACGTACAACGTATGAAAAGCGTTATTTTTAACCTTATCAATGAAGCTCATAGGCGCTAGTGTCACAAAAGTCATCACGGCGCCGAAAATAGACGTAACATTAAATGCATTTTTGCCAACTGTGTCTACACGAAATTATCTTAGTCATCGCGATTTTTTGTTATTAAACTGAATCGATGTGCAAATGCTTGAATTACAGTTCTCTGTAAACACGATTTTGGCTCTCGAACTTGAACGAGTTCTCGTTTCATTAATAAGAAAAAGATCGGTTATCAGTTTACAAAGCAAATATTGTGTTTCTTAGATCCCATCGCTTCGAGATTATTTTTATTTTTTATTTTTTCCTACTAGGTCACACTTTATACTTTCCTAACAGTTCTCGATAGCGCGGTTAAAAAGTGGAGATCGTAGTCTAGATAACCGCGGCAATTAACGAATGCCAAAACCTATCAAATAAACTTGAACCCAAGGTATTAATATATACGAAAATAAAAACTCCAATACTTTGCTACTATTTCTGGAGTCATTCTTCTCGAAATCAATGAACAGGGTATTTAAGTACCTCATAAAAACGGTTGAGAAAGTTTCTTGAAACGTATTTTCTACAAATCATTTGCCAAATATTCTTGGAAGACAGAATGAATGGCACTGAGTCATTGAAAAAGTAGAAATCTACCTGTTTTCAATGATACACCATCGATGTATCGACCTTTAAAGGCCAAGCGAAACGACCAACAGGAAGTGACACGTGGTGGCAAATCTGTTCAAGTAAAAACTAAAATATAAATAGTTTTACGAATGGTAAATTGTTCGAAATATGATGCCGTGCCAATTAAATATACGGCTTGGGAAACAATTTGTCATTTCTAGCCTTTAACTGTAAAATGTCATTAAAAGGATATGCTCGTTACACACTTAATAAACACGCTAAAAACGAATCACTACACTACATTTTGTCAATAAAAAACGTCAATAATTAATATTGCAAAACCCATTCCAATTCAAAGCGTTTGGGTGTCAAATTCTAGCATCGAATAACTTTCAACTTACTCACGATTTTTCTTACTCATCAATGCCTCTCGATGAGTGCTACCTATAGTCACAAAATCAAACAATCGAAGTCATATTCAATTCCAAACGTCACTTTATGACAGTCAACACAAATCTGATTGGTCGTAATTCATTTTTAATAGCAGCAAAATTTCTCTGAAACATCCTCCACTGTGATTTACTCTTTTCAGTAATTATTTTTAAGTCTGAAGCGGAATACACTTGAATGAAGGTTACAAACGTAAGATAAACGTTTTTCCCATGTGCTCACCTTGGAGTTTCTTTTTCGATATATAGGGTGTGGACCGGAATTAAGTGGCGACTTTTTCCAGAAAATCCCACAAGCTTACTTGACAGAAAACTAAAATTTAGTAAGGTTACTGCCGCATTTGTTTACCCAAATTTAAACGACAGTTTAACGTTTATGGATCACTTTCCAGGCTACTACAGTTTTAAGAAGGTGCAAATGGCAAAAACTTACATGTTTATACTAGAACTTTACGAAAAAACTTTAACTTTTTATGAGCAAAACAAATGTACTGAGACTTTTTTGGTTATTTTTTCGGAGAACATCCTGTTACAACTTCTATACTTTATTGTTGCACATCCTGTGTAAAGTAGAAACAGCAACTGCAATGGTGTTATGCAAACATACATTTCCTTTACTTACTCTTTTGTATTTTTCACGATATTTTCTTTTTGTTCGTCCTCTTCCATGCACTTAATGTATACGTCCTTGGTTATATTATAATATAACCTTATATTTAAAGGTTATGTCAAGTAACAATCGCCAATAATATTGTCATCACATTTTCTCCTTTTTTAATACTTGTCTTCTTGTGTCTAGAGTTTCGCCTGTACATCCGGCTATATTGATTTGGAATGGATTTTATAAATAAGTACTGTGGGAAGCATGTTTAAATAATCACACTACTCTAAATTAATGTAACCAACTCTGTCGTTCAATAGTTTTTCCAAACGCCAATTTCAAAAGTGTTACTATTTACATTGTGATGATACTGAATGAACTACCTACACAAATTATTTTTACTACCTGTACGTGATTATAACTACTGTAATAGCTTTTTGTCTATCTGCCGGAAATGTATATAATTACTCTGAATTTTAAGTGTGCGTTAAAATTACCGTGAATATGGTAACACACTAACCACAACTTACGTAAAACTTAATATTTTCCGTCGTTTTTGAATTTCGCTGAAAACGTACGTTTTGTCAGATCTACCGATCATAATCTAAAGCAAGATTTATTTTTATCATTTTAGTCTCTACTTTACATCACTTTCACTGCATGAAGCAAGATGCACCTACGTTGGAGTTACCTTAACCACAATCCAGCAGTACTTAATATGTCGAATGAAAGCGATCAAAGCACAGAATAATGTAATTCTAATAGAACGATGATGTACCATAATTAAAGATTTCTTTTAGATTTGCATCGTCAAGCCCAACTGCGTGCGTATTCAAATGATCGTTCATAAATCAGGAAGAAAAATATATGCGCTACCTACCTATACGACATGACGAAATAACTGTAAATTGTTATTCTCATTAAGGAGCAAACTATTTATTTATTCCTGAATGCGATGACCTTAAAAAAAGTTATGAAGGAAGGATACGTGTATGTTTCGAGCGTTTACTTTCTAATAATAATTGATTGGGATAGACCTGCATTGCTTCACAGACAATGGAAAATATCAAGGAGTGTTTTTCTAAACATCTGGGTGTAATCTGATAATGGCATATAAAGGTCTATGCTGCACTGGTTTACTCTTACATATAAAGAATGTCAGTCGTTTATAAAAACTAAAAACTAGCATTTTTTGCACCATGTACATGCAAATCAAAAACCAGATTGTATCTAGTACATTCAGCAGGAATCAATGCGTCAGCCACCATTTAAGACCACCAATCAATTTTAATTTAAAGAAAACATAATATTATTAATCAAGACATACGCTCCAACAATGAAGTTTGAACTTTGCAATTGCCACCACTTTAAAACTACACCGAGTGTGTATAAATGTCAAAATATAGAACTGCTTCAAATTGCACGACTTTCTTTAGCGGTTTCCCACAGCGTTGCGACGCACACATAAAAATCAAACACAAGAAAGTCTCTCTATTCCGAAATTATGAAAACTGGCGACATTGCCTTCTGACGGGTGCATTTGGGTACAGACGATTATGGCTATAAACATTGTAAGAGACTTCGAAGATTTATGACGTGTTTGGGTAGGTTGTCTGTAGGAATTAGAGGTTCTGTGAATGAGGTTGTAAATTATTAGTAGCATAATCCTAACAGGTTCATGGAGACGTCAAAATAAATCCATCAGAAGTGATTTCGCTAATGTTCACTCTTTCAGAACCGGAACTATAATCCCCCGTTAGAAACACGTTTTTGTTCGGCGTTATTGTTTGATTAAAAGTACCTAAACCAAAGCATATTCTAATTTTTTTAACAATCTAAAACACAG